AAACAGCAGAGAAAGGATTTTTGAAGAACATGACCTGCCCACCCACCCCCCAAAATGCCAAAGAAGGGTGTGTATATAAATTTCTGACGTGAGGAAAGGTGATTCAAATGGACAGACGGGAGTGCGCACTCCGTGGTTGATAAGATCATGGTGGTGTTTGTGGTCAGGCCCGGCCCCTGAAGTACCATGTGAATAAGAAGGTACTTCTTGTGCAGAGGCCACTCTGAGTCAAATTTGACTCAATGTCATTGAGTTTGGCTTTTGGTCTCATGCTGATAGAGTTGTTTATCTTTCTCTGATATTCAGGTTTCCCTCAGCAAAACAATGGCTTCCATTGATTGAATTCTCTCTTTGGAGTTCAATCCCTTTGGACTTTGTTTCCTGTTGTTCCTTATGTCTTCCAGACTTCCATCAGAAACTCCCCTCAAGGGAGCTTGCTCTTGGCATGTGACACATGTCATTGAGGTATTGACACATTACACTCATCAAACCTGCATGGCTCAAGTTCTTAAGGCTTCCATCCCTATCTAAGCTACCGAAAACTCACTGTTGTACAGTGAGACACAGTTGAACAGAGCCAATAGGGCAGAAATGGCAGGTTGAGCTTGGAGAGTTCTGGACCTACTGTCCCTGCTGAGATAAGCAGGGATAGATAGGCAAGGATAGATAGGGTTTAGGGAGGGATGAAATTACTTTTGTGTTTGGTTCTGGGTGCATGCTTTTCATTTTATGATTTTTTCAAAAGGATTTATAATTGTATTTTTACTTCCTGTATGTCCCATTATTTAATGGGGATGATTTCCTTCTCATTTTTTTAATGGTTGCTTTTTTCCCCCCTTTCTTAATTATTTGCTTATTTTTGTTGTATTTTTTATTTTTAGAGAATAGGTCTTATTCTGTTTTTTTTAATTTGATGAGTTGTTGTAGCTTAATATATTATCAATGTTGGCATATATTTTATAGATTTTTTTAAAAAGGTAACCATATTTGGAAGTCTAACATTTAAGGTAGACCTAAAGATAGATAGGTAGGTAGGTAGGTAGGTAGGTAGGTAGGTAGGTAGGTAGGTAAATAGATACATGCATCAATAGATGATAGAGCAATCGATAGATGAAAGATAGCTAGACAGGTTTTTAAGAATGACATTGTGTTTTTAGTGAAGATTTACACATGCATTTAAGTTGCCATGCAACAATTTACCTATGAATTGTTCAATGATATGGATTACATTTGTCACAATGCATGAACATTTGATTATTTTAGTTCTGGCACTTCCACCTCCTCACTTTCAACAACCTCCAGCAACATGCTTGCAGAAAGTGAGGAGGACTTAAAGCACTTGATGATGAAGCTCCAGAATTTCAGCCTTCAGTATGGATTACATCTCAATGTAAAGGAAACCAGAGTCCACACAACTGGACCAAGAGGTAACATCATGCTAAGTAGAGAAAAGGTTGAAGTTGTCAATGATTTCGCCTTGCTCATCAGTGCTCATGGATGCAGCAGTCAAGAGAGCAAACAACACACTACACTGAGCAAATCTGCGGTACAAGACCAAAGACCACACTCACTGCCATCAAGTCAATGCCGAGTCACAGCG